CCCCAAAACCCCAAAACCCCAAAACCCCAAAACCCCAAAACCCCATTCGGAGGGAAGGAACAGAATAAAAAGACTAATTTTATTTATTATTTTGATCGTCAGCGTCTTCCTGATTATTATTTTTGTCTTTTTTGCCATCCTTATCTTCATCTTCCTGTTTGAAAGGGTTCTGTTCAGACTTTTGATTATTCATTGGCTCCTTGCTATCAACTTGCTCCCTACTAATAAACCCTTCTTCAACAAAATGAGTGGGCTCATCTGCAAAATTGACTCTCTTTTTAGAATCTTGACGCGAAGCCTTCCTTTCTTCTGTAGGATTTTCAGCTTCTTTAAATGATTGAATCCTTGATTGGTCTTCTTCTATTGGATTGTTCTGATCTTTGTTAGATCTCTGGTTTGAAGCCGCCTTTGAATCTGAATGGCTTCCTTTTGAGGTAATATCCTCAAGAGCTCCAATTCTAATGTTAGCGTTCATTCTATTGTTTCCTTGTCTTTCAGGGTCGCTAAATCCTCTATTCGGTCTTAATAATTCATTCTGATTAGACGGCCCTAGCTCTCCTAATTGTTCTCTCGTCTGAGGGAGGAAGTAGGACCTCTGAGCTTGCATTCTTCTACTTGAATTGAACCTAAGAGCATAAGGATCATCTGCTCCTTCTTGTCTCCTGTAGCTCTTTCTCATGATAGAGTGTCTTCCATTAGGATTTCTATTTCTAGCTTCACTTCTTAGACTAAGTCGAACACTCTTTTTATCTTGATATCCAAGATGTACGTGGGCATCATTTAAATATTTAGAAATACTCTTCTGATAATTAGATAGCCCACCATAAGGATCATCCTTTTGGTCTGGAGAGAAGCTATCGTTTTGGTAATCATACTTATCATGGAAATCAGGCTCGTCATCGTCATCAAAATTATCCCATTTGTCTTTTTTAAGGAATTTTCCCATGCTTTTATTGAGCTTCTCGAGGCCAGTAGCAAGACCGCCAGCATTATCTTGACTTACTCCGCTCACTCTTTCTTTTTCGTATAAACTTTCGCTCATGCCTGAGTGTCTTTCTTCTCTTCTCAGAAGCATGTCTTCGGCATCATCACTGTGAAAGATTCCATCTTCAGGGAAATATTTGGCCATTGCTTTCAAAAGACAAGTAGTTGTGCCACCAAGGAACACAATTGTTATGATAATCAAGCTGATAGTAATGGCAATAATCATATCTTTAAATTCAGAGTTCACGTTTAATGCAAGGTAGAAAGCAACAGCTCCTCTCAAACCTGAGTATGACATTATCATTTGGAAGCTGAACGGCATCTTGTCTTCTTTAAATAGGTTGACAAAATATCAAGTGAAGAATACAGAGACAGTTCTTGAAACCAAAAGAGCAATCACTCCAATTCCAACCAGCTCAAAATTGACGTTGTGAATAGTTAGAGGGACCGAGAGACCCATGTAAGCAAATACGAAACTTTCAGAGATGTTACAAGCCATTTCGATCATACTCTCCACCGTTACCTGTCCTATGGGACTTAGTGAGTGAAATGCGTAGTTTCTCATAAAAATGGCGGAGATGAAAATAGCAAGAATTCCTGAAAGATAAACTCCTTCACTAAATACGTAAGGAAGGTAGCTCAGAATCATGAAGAGTCCTATTTCAATCCAAGGAACTACATGGAAATCAAATTTAGCAAAAATATAGGAGACTATGATGCCTCAGATAGCGCCAACCAAAATTGAACCAAAGAAGTAAATTGCAAAGTGTACGAGTCCTTCACCAGTTATTTGCAAGTAGTTTACAACTTCCCCCTGCTCCATCTTCAACCCGACTTCTTCAGCAGATTGTGCGAGAGCGATGGAGACAGCGTCATTGAGTGCACTTTCTCCAAAAACCACCATGTATAGCTTTTCTGAAACCCTCAAGGATTTGAATATAGAGATAGTTGCAACAGGATCTATGGCTGAGATAAAAGTTCCGAACTGCAAAGACTCGATGAAGAAGAAAGGAGTTGAAGTGAAAGTACTTCCATAGTAGAATATCATTGTGAATATTATGGATGCAATCAAAGTTCCGAAAATTGCAAAGGATAAAATCGTCCAAAAACTTTTGAAAAATATCTTTGCCTTTAATGAAAAACCAGCCTGATACATAATAGTTGGAAGCAAGAATAGGAAAAATGTGTGTGGCTCAAACTGCAAAATTCTCATCAAGTGATTGCTCTGATAGTAGTACTTTATAACAGCCCCCACCATGATTCCAAATAGAATGGCTACTGCTGAATCTGGGAAAATATGCAATGATTGATGTCTATGATACAAATACAACAACAAGGTGCAACACAATGCTATAAGAACAAGAATGATAAATCCAACAGTAATAATTTCCTCTTCAAGATGCTCTGAGTGAGCTCCAGCTGAGCTACAGAAGGCATCTGGATCTTTGTTTGTATTATATCAAGCACATCGACCAGTTCCTGTAAGACCATCATCACAAATTCCTTCTTTTCCACAAACTACATTATCCAGAGGATTGATTGGGCAAGGGTATCACTTTGCTCCAAAGAAATCTTTGACACAGATATTACAGTGATCCCCCTTGAAATTGGCTTTGCAGACGCATGAGTAGTTCGGCTCGTAAGAGAAAGTATCTGGATTTTGGGACACTAAAGTTTTGACGAAATGCTGTTGACAAACCCCGTTATTATTGCAATCATGTTCTCATTTACTAATATCAACCATTTCTCCAGTTATCCTCAATGGCCTGTCTTCTATATCTCTCATGATTTGTCTTTCTAGTCTTCCGAGTTTGGGTGTGCTTGATAGAGAGTGGTCTTTAGGCTTAATACTTGCAATAGAACTATCAGATGCAAGGAATCTAAGAGAAGATTTTTCAGAGAAAGTTCCCTCAGGAGTCTCAAAATTTGTAGATGTTGAATCCTCACTTTTAAAAGACCCTGTCTTACTAATAATGGAATTTGAAATGCCAAAGACTGGTTGTTCATTTCCTGATTTTAATTGGGAGTGAATTTCCTCAGGTTTTATGTTCATACCTAAATGGTGTTTCTCGATTTCAGTATCACCTAATCCGAAAACTGGACAAGAGAGCATCAAGAGCAAACCAAATAGCCACATCATTCAAACACTGCTACGTGGCAACGTAATAAAGGCAGCCTGTGAAATACTGTTTCTACCAAATTTGGTATGTCGGATAGGAGAAATCCTACTCGTCACTGGCTCGTACATATTTTATTTTAAATATTTCAGCTAATTAATGCCTCTAGGGGTTTTGGGGTTTTGGGGTTTTGGGGTTTTGGGG